ATATATATATATATATGGTTACGCGAAAAGCGAGCGTTACACGAGCGCAGATCGAGGCCTTTAACTCGCTCCCCCATTTCACTTTTTAGACACGGTTCTTGCGAAACGGACTGACATCACGGCTATTCCAAACGACGTTATCGAACGAAACGATTAAACGATCACTTCGGCAATAAGGAACTTGCCCTTAAAAATATTATTATCCAAGTATGTGCGAGAAACAATAATTGCGTAATTTTAACGTGCTGTTTATCAAAATCGCGATGCTACAAAGATATAAATCTACCGTAATCGTCGATCCCTCTCGTTCACGTTAATATTTTGTTATATAGTTTATAAAGTAAATTTCGCAACTGTACCTCGAAAATTTTTTTCTTCTGAAGTAATCAATATAATAAGTGAGACAAGTTTCAAAGGGGACAGATCAGAGGAAGCGTTATTTGATGGTACTAGATTTTAAAAGGATCTTTAATCCTTTATTAGTGAATTTATATAAATATGTGGCAGCTTGAGAGCTAAATTCATTCCCAAATTCGTTTCAAGTCTGTTAAACGGCAATAATAAATAAACAATTATTATACTTGTAAGATCTAGTCCAGGTATGGCTAATATTCTCTGCTCTTTTTTTATGATTTGACTAGATTAAACTGTACAATTATAAAATAATATAAAAATAAATTTTGCGTGATTTTGCAAAATTTAAATTTCCCTTATTACAGTATCATACATATCCAAGTATCGACCGTTTATTCGTGTACAGAGAGCGTGATTCAATTAGAATAGAGAAACGTAATGTCTATTTTAAGGAGGAGAGGAGTTGTAAGAAATCGGGCGATGAAAAAAAAATACACACAGGCATGCACGCACACATGCACGGACCGCGAGGGCATTCGACTCGAATGCATTTATTATGCACTTTGAGAGGCATCACTGTTGGGATCCGAGCATTAGCAGTGCGTCATCTGAATTTTCTCGCCGAGCGCAAAGAACGGATCGTTTGTACATCGAGGAATAAATCAGCATGCGCGCGCGCGCGCGCAACTAGGAGTCTTAAAACAACTCGTAATCGCGATACGCAATGCCGATTCGAGGCGGCTCAACACGACGATTTACACGCACGTCCCCATTACACGATATCGATTCGATGCAGCGCGATGAACGTTTTATTCGTACGCGCGCATCCGTCAGTCGTGCCGGGGGAAAATTAAATGAACGCGAGCGAGATAAGACATTCAAACGCGAGTCCCGCGATATGCCCGGGTCGCTCGTGAATCATGAATCACGAAGTGGCGAACGTTCCTCGTGAATGCGCAAAATCGGTGACATGTTGTGTAGATACGCGTTCGACCGTCCCGCGAGATAAATGTACGGCCGCGTGATTCCATTATGCCTTGTCTTACGACCGTGATCGACGGGGATCTAGAATTTCGTTTTGCCCTTATTGCCCGCGAGTCTCAAAATGGAACTCGATCTAACTGTCTCGCGGTACGCGGTTCGTCTCGTTCTACCAAGAAATTGCAAAATTGAATAATAATTCAATTAATCGCCATTTGATCGCTTTTGCTTTTGCTTTTAACAAAGAAAGTATATTTAGAGTAAATTTCTTTTATGCGTTCCATTAAGAAGTAGATGAGTTTTATTGGATAATTAAGATTGTGAACTAATATTTTTATCTTCTTCAGAAGTCAGAGTTTTACTGAAATTATTAAAAAATTAATAACTTAATATCTAGAAATTAGAGATAATAAAAAAAAAAAAAAAAAACAGATGTTTATTGTTGAAATTATCTCATTCGCGTTTGACATCGAAAGTTTATCTCTGAAAAACGAGACTAGGTTGGTTCTTAACGAGTTAATCAATTCTTCCTCGTTAGCACGCGTGAACTTTAAAGCATAGTCCGCGGAAACGGCATGAGGGTGTCACGTTTAACGCGATGAGAGAACGCGATGAGAGAACGCGCAAGAGGAACGCGGGGAGGAATCCCGCGATTCGCCGAAGGGCAGCATCCATTTTTCTTCCTTCGTCAACGACAAGCGTGCATGCGTGCATGCGTGCATGCGTGCGCGCGTGAATTTACCCCCTCAGACGCCACTGCTGCACGAAACTCCAATCCGCCTTGAATCCGCTCGTGTCCCCGGGCAAGGACCAATAGTCCTCCAGCTGGCTCTCGTCCTCCTCTATTCTCAGCACGTCCTCCCTGCTGGGGCTGACGTTCACCACGATCTCGTGCGCGGCCTTGGGATCGCCGTTCTCCATCGCGGAATCCTGCCGGCATTGTCCGGCGTCCACCTCACGCTCGCCGTCCCGCTCCGTCGCGCCTCGTGGACGAGCCTCCTGGATCTGGATCTCGCCGTCCTGCGCTCGCGACGACGTCTCCTCGGTACATCTCGATGTCACCTGCACGCGAGCTTCCGGCAACGATGACGGAGGCAGGGACGGCGGCGGCGGCGGCGGCGGGGGCGGGGGCGGCAGAGAAGACCGCTGCTGCTGCCTCGTTCTGTCCTCTTTCTGTCTCGGATTCGAGTCGCCGAAGTAGATGACCGTCTTGTGACCCACGTCCTTCCCCATTTTTCCAAAGTCATTACCTGGCGTCCACGGCTTCGAATCACGAGCGTCGTTGATCACGTTCGCGTTCTGACCACGGCGACCTCGGTCCTCCAAGGTCGAGCTTCTCTCGTAATCGTCGTGCTCCACGGCTTCCCGCCATTCCTCCCTCCGCGCAGGAGGCTTCGCGGGCAGGAAGGGCATGGCCCGCCGCAGGATGAAATTTGCGCTCTCGTGAGTCCCGATCTTCTGGAACTGGACCTCGACGCCGCTGGCGCTCATCCT